CTCAAAAAAAAAAAAAAAAAAAAGAAAGTCTTCCTTCACCCTCTCAGACTGGGTTCATTCATCCTGTTATACATTTTTATACCACTGTGTACCTTTTCTACTTGGTTATTATCACAATTCGTTGCATATGATTATTTAATTTATATCTTCCCCACTAAATTATAAACCCTATAAGGTCAGAGGCCACATCTGCCTTATTTATCACTATCTCCAGTACTTGGCATAGTATGGTGATCACAGCAAACATTAACTAAATATCTGTTAAATATTTATTATGAATGTGTATTCAGAATACTATTTTTAGGGCCAGGCACAGTGGCTCACGCCTGTAATCCCAGCACTTGGGAGGCCCAGGCAGGTGGACTGCCTGAGCTCATAGGGTTGAGACCAGCCTGAGCCAGACCAACACTTCATCTCTAATAATGGTCGGGCACTGTGGTGGGCACCTGTAGTCCCAGCTACTAGGGAGGCTGAGGCAAGAAAATCACTAGAGACCAAGAGTTTGAGGTTGCTGTGAGCTATGACACCATGGGACTCTAGCCAGGGCAACAGAATGAAACTGTCTCCAAAAAAAAAAAAAAGTTATTTTTAGAATGAATGTATCACAAACCAGAAATAAGCTCAACAAAAGTGGGAAAAAAACAAAAAAACAAATAAGCAAATAGCAAAAGTCAGGCTCTTAAAAGTGAAACAGAAAATAAGAATTAGAATACTATTTTTTTTTGTAGAGACAGAGTCTTACTATGTTGCCCTTGGTAGAGTGCCGTGGCGTCACAGCTCACAGCAACCTCAAACTCCGGGGCTTAAATGATTCTCTTGCCTCAGCCTCCCAAACAACGGGGACTACAGGCGCCTGCCCCAACGCCTGGCTTTTTTTTTTTGTAGTTGTCATTGTTTAGCAGGCCCCGGGTCGGGTTTGAACTCACCAGCCCCAGTGTACGTGGCCAGCACCCTCACCACTGAGCTACAGGCACCAAGCCAGAATCGGAGTACTTGATGGTTATTTAGGAGTTTGTTCTCGCACTCACGCTTTCTCTTAGCACACGTTTCGTCTTTGCTCACACTCACGCTTTCTCTTAGCACACGTTTCGTCTTTGCTCACACTCACGCTTTCTC